ACATGGGAGAGAATATTTGGGAACCAAATATCTAATGAGGGTTTAACATCCAGAATATATAAGGGTACAACTCAACAACAAAAAAGGCAAATAATCTAATTAAAACATGGGCAGAGGACTTACATAGTCTTCTCCAAAGACATACAGGCCCAGGGAAAGATATTCAGCATCATTAGGCACTGGGAAAACGCAAATCAAAACCACAATGAGCTATTACCTCATACCCACTAGGATAGCTATTATCAGAAAAACAGAAAATAAATGTTACGGTGTAGAGAAATTTAAACTTTCATCTCTTGCTGATGGGACTGTAAAACACTGTAGCCATTGTGCAAAATAGTTTCCTCAAAATATTAAATATAGAATTCACATCTGACTCAACAAGTCTAAAAAAAAATCAAACTCACTGCTGTCGAGTTGATTAAACTCATAGCGAACCCTCCTTGGGTTCCCGAGGCGGTATCTCTTCGGAAGTAGATTGTTCAGTCTTCCTTCCGAGGAGTGGCTGGTGGGTTTGAACCGCAGCCTTCTGGTTAGCAGTCAGATGTTTTAGGGACTGCTTGGTGTATGTCCAAAAGATTTGAAAGCAGAGACTCAAACAGACCCTTGTACTGCTGTTCGTTGCAGCATTGACCACAACAGCCAAAATGTGGAGACAACCCAAGTGCCCACCAAAGATGCATGGATCAGCACAGCGTAGCATTCCGTACAATGGAGTGTTATTCAGACATGAAGAGAATGACCTTCTTTTCCATGCTGTGACATGGATGCTGTTTTCATTGGGAGGCACTATCAAGTCACCAAGTCGATTTATCGCAGCCCCACGGGACGGAGTAGAACTGCCCAGCAGGATTTTCTAGGCTGGCATCTTCCCGGGAACAGTTTACCAGGTCTGACTCCCACAGAGCCCCTGGGTGGGTCCAAACCACCAACCTTTGGGTTAGCAGTCGAGTGCTTAACCCTTGTGCCACCAGAGCTTCTTATAAACCTTGAAAATATGCCAAGTGACATAAGTCAGACTCCACGGAACAAATTCTGTATGATTCCAAACCAAAAAACAAACTCACTGCCGCCGAGTTGGACCCAACTCATAGCGACCCCTCCTTGGGTTTCCGAGGTGGTATGTCTTTGGAAGTGGATTGCCCAGTCTTCCTTCTGGAAGTTGCTGGTGGGTTTGAACTGTCAGCCTTCTGGTTAGCAGTCAAGTGCCTTAGGCACTATGCCAGTGATATGAAATATCTCGGACAGGAAACGCACAAAGTTTATCAGTGGTTAACAGGAAGGTGGGAGAAGAGAAGTGGGGAGAATCATTGCTTAAGGGGGACTGAGTTTCTGTTTAGGGTGATAAAAAAAAAATGTTGGAAATGGACAAGTGGTGACAGTGCGTAGCATGGAGAACATGATTAATGTCACTGAGCCGTACACTGAGACTGGCTGAAACAGCAGCTTTTACGTGATACACACTCTACCATGCAGAAAGTCAATCACGGGCTTTTTTGTTTGGCTATTACAAAAGGAGATGTAAGCTGCAAAGACTGATGACGCCGGACCTCCTGGTTACTAGCAGGTTCTGGAATCTCTGCACTGAAAATGTCAACAGTTGGAGATCCCCAGCTGACGATGTTCAGGAAAGATTCATAATTCTCTTTGTATCTTTCACTATTTTCTGAATTTCTGGGAAGATCCAAGCATTAATTTGATCATCAGAGAAAAAAAAGTGCAGCTGTCCTGAAAGGCGCCCGGCACGTCTTCACGGAGCCCCTGTCGTCCAATCAGTGCTGGGTCCCAAGGATCCACAACAGAGGGCCTGGCAGGAATGGGCTGGAAATGACCGCTGGACAGTACTAGCAGGGTGCAGGACAGTGTAGACACGGCTCCAATGACCCCTCTGAGCCCGGGGTGGGCAAGGAACAAGCAAGGGATTCCTGGAGGAGGAGGCATCCATAGGACCCACCTGAGGTGGCCTCCGAGGGAGCATGGAGAGGGCATTCCGGGTCGGGGAGCAGTGGAAACAAGGGCAGAGAGAAGCCGGCCAGCATTAAGCACGTGGTGGGAAGCCATGGATGAGTGGGCATGTCTCTCTCAGAGCGAGTTAACCTTTGGGTGAGACAATTATTCCTAAACCCTGTTCTGTAAGAAACACCTGGTCACAGTTTAATTCCCGTCTGGGTGATCTCAGGCTCTGCTTTCCCCGGTTCCAAATCCACCTTTTCTGGAAAGTCCTGGGGCGGAGTCTCTGGAAGATGCCAGCGGCCTCCGATCTCATTTCAGCCGCCCCTAGTGACAGGGCTGAGTGGACGCTCTGGGTCAGTAAGGCAGGCAGCCCCTGACATGTTCCAGGCTGCCTTCCGGGAAGCGACCACCCCCTCCAGGTCCCCATGGCGTTTGCTGAACTCCTGGACCAAGTGGGCAGCCTGGGCAGGTTCCAGGTTCTGCAGATGGTGGCCCTGGTGGCCCCCATCATGTGGCTTACCACACACAACCTGCTAGAGAACTTCTCGGGTGCTGTGCCTAGCCACCGCTGCTGGGTGTCCCTCCTGGACAACAGCACAGGCCAGGCCAGCACCCCCGGGACCCTGAGCCCCGAGGCGCTGCTGACCGTCTCCGTCCCACCCGGCCCTCAACAGAGGCCTCACCGGTGCCGCCGCTTCCGCCACCCACAGTGGCAGCTCCTAGACACCAACGCCACAGCGGCCAACTGGAGCGAGGCCACCACGGAGCCGTGCGTGGACGGCTGGGTTTACGACCACAGCACCTTCACCTCCACCATCGTGACCCAGGTAAGGGTCCCTCGTCACCGTGCACACGCGCCTTGAGCCCTGACACCTTAGAGGTCAAAGTCACAGGTCATCGTTAGCTGGCCTCAAAATGGCCCAGTACTGGGAGTCAGTGTCTGGCCTCTCCTTAGCCCCACTGACTTACAAGGTAATGGAGAACCCACTAGGAGCTCTGGTAGCGTAGTGCCTAAGGCACTTGACTGCTTACCAGAAGGCTGGCGGTTCAAACCCACCAGCCACTCCTCAGAAGGAAGATGGGGCAATCTACTTCCATAGTGATACTGCCTCGGAAACCCAAGGAGGGGTCGCTATGAGTCAGGTCCGAGTCAACGGCACATAACAACAACAATCTAGAACCCATTGGCCTGTCAGACCGTCCCCAGGAGCTGGGACTAGGCGAGGCCAGAGACTGGTCCAGGCAAAGGCGTTCAGGAGGCAGGCTCTTCCCCTGATGGCCCCCCACCAGCCTGGTGCTGCCCAAATCCACCAGCTGTGACTGCCCACAGCTCACTCTGCGTCACCTAGCCCAATTTTTCCAAATGTCAAATGGGGACTCTCTGGATTGCAGAGACCATGGGCTGAGTGCTGGAGATACATGGGTGAGGGGTGGCCTTGCTTCCCTGCCCATGGGCTCCCTGAGGACCCCAGGAGCAGCAGATAAAGCACCTGGCTGGCCAGGGCACCCAGGTCACCTCCAGAGGAGAAGGGGGCACTAGGCCAATGTGGGAGGTGGGCAGCCAGCAGGGAAGAGTCTGTAAAGAACAGAGGCAAGCCTCAGAACGGGTGGTGGCTACAGTGAGAGCAAGGCCTGGAGAGGGCTTGAGCGTTGACCTACAGGGCAATAGGGAGCCATGCAGGGCCTTAGACAAGGAGTGATTGGAAACCTCATGAGGCAATGCCACACCCGTGTGTCTTCAGTATCCCACAGGGCCCTGCCCGATGACCCTAGAGGGCACCAGGTCACCTACCCACAGTCCCTTCTAGCTCCTGTCCCCTCTCGGCTCCTGAGCTCAGCCCTTCCACTCCCTTCCAGTGGGACCTGGTGTGTGACTCTCAGGGCCTGAAGCCAATGGCCCAGTCCATCTTCCTGGCTGGGGTCCTGGTGGGAGCCGCCATATGTGGCCACATCTCTGACAGGTGAGTGCCACCTGGTCCTGGCAGGCCCCCATCCCCTTGCCATTCCTGCAGCCTTGGGCCTCTGACTTTGACCAGGCCCTGACCTGGCCCCTCATAGCCAAGCCCAGGTGTGCTTGTAGCAGGAATGTCTGGGTGTCAGCCTTCTAGCTGTGCCACCTTGATCAGGACTATGCCCTTTCTGAGCCTCCATTTCACAGACTCTATCCCCAGGGTGGTAGGGTCATCACATCCCATCATCCACTCACTCCTGCCATACTCCCGCTTGAATCCTCCGAAAGACAGGGAACTCACTCCCTGATGAGAGTGAATCCTCTGCCTGCCCTGACTCAGAGACACTCTTCTGTTTGCTCAGAGCCTCCCACGGCTGGAGAATGAGGGTCTGGCCCTGGGTGGCTTACTGGCATCCACCTTGGCTTGGCGGGCAGTACAGGTGGGCTCTCTGGGGTCCTAACCCTCGTGCGTGGTGCTGTGGCACTCTGTGCACCCCAGCCCTCCTCCGGCTCTGTGCCACAGGTTCGGGCGCAGGCTGGTGCTGACCTGGAGCTACCTTCAGATAGCCACGGCGGGCACCACGGCTGCCTTCGCCCCCACCTTCCCTGTGTACTGCGTGCTCCGCTTCCTGGTGGCTTTTGCCATAGCTGCTGTCATTATGAACACGGCCACTCTCCGTAAGTTCCCCGCCCTGCCACCCTGCAGGAGAAGCTCTGCACAAGGCTGACCCGCCCCCATCTCCCTGCAGTGATGGAGTGGACATCGACACCGGCCCGGCCCTTGGTGATGACCTTGAACGCCCTGGGCTTCAGCTTCGGCCAAGTCCTGTTGGCTGCTATGGCCTACGGTGTGCGCGACTGGTCCATGCTGCAGCTCGCTGTCTCGGCCCCGTTCTTTCTCAGCTTCCTGTATTCTTGGTAAGTGCTGCAGGCCCGCCCCTTCTCCCGGTGACCTCGTCTGTGCCAGGGGAACTTGTCCGCGCCCAGGGCTCTAGCTGCACCCACCGTCTACCAGTCCCCAATCTCCATGCAGCCCTGACCCCCTCCCCCACTGCAGCCTCCGTGAGGTCTCAGTCCCATGAACTAGCACTGCCTTACACACCTGCTCCTTCCCCAGGTTTCCCCACCTTGGAGGACAGCCCCCACCCACCCAGGTACTGCCTCAGAGCCACCATGACACCTCCATCCCCTCCCACTCCCAACTACACGTGGTCACCAGAGGGTCACTCTATCTCTGATGCAGCCCTTCCCTCCTGCAAACCTCAAGACCCCGGGTGGCTGGGAAGTAGGTGGTCCCACCCAGGGCTGCACCCCCACAGATGACGTCTGGCTGAGGGAACTTCCTAAGCAGAGGCCTGGAGGCAGAGATGGGGCGTGGGAGCTAAAGGGACCCAGCAGGCTGGGGGCAAGGCAGTGGGGATGGCCTGTGGGTCCCAATGAGGCCAGGACCCTTGGGCAGAGGTTTAGAGAGTGGCAGGGCCCCTCTTGCTGTCCCGGCCGGCCCACAGCCCTTTCAAAGACGCACTTCCAGGAGCTCAGTGAGACTCACACAGGCTGGCCAGGCAGGCTGTGCAGGCCCCAGGCGGTGACCCTCTTGTCCCCTGCAGGTGGCTGGCAGAGTCGGCGAGATGGCTCCTCATCACGGGCAGAATGACCCAGGGCCTGCAAGAGCTGCAGAAGGTAGCCAGCATTAACGGAAAGAAGGCAGCCGGGGAGGCACTGACCATGGAGGTAGGTGGGCGGGGCCTTCTCCCTGCCCCACACAGGGCCCCCTGGGAAACAGCTGCAGCTCCTGACAGCCGCTTCAGCTTCCAGGAAGGAGGGCTTCAGAGAGGTGGGACTCCCTGAGTGTCCCCAGTTCCCCTTTTCCTGCAGGTCTTGCTCTCAGCCATGCAGGAGGAGCTGAGTGTGGGCCAGGCTCGGGTTAGCATGAGTGCCCTACTCTGCACACCTGGACTGTGCCACCGGACCTGCGTCTCCACATTGTGCTGGTAGGTGTCCCATCAACACCCCACCCCACCCGGGCCCAGCCTCAGCCTCAGCCCTCTCCGGGGGTTCTGGGGGTATCTGGCCAGGGGTCCTCTGCTGGATCCTCAGTCTAAGAGTGACTCAGGGACAAGGCTTAAAGCCCAGCCACCTCCCTCCTCTGTCGGCTGGGTTGTGTCGGGCAACTGCCCGTGCCAGGTGGGCCTGGTAAGAGAAGTTTGTGCTGATAAAGCAGCTTTTCAGCTAACCCCCACCTTCGTTACAAATCCTCCTTGTTAAATCTCTTCTGGGAGTCGTAACCTCACTAAATTCCCTAACACAGAGAAAACCAAAAAAACCAAACCAAACTCACCACCGTCAAGTCGATCTCAACTCATAATGACCCCTCCTTGGGTTTCAGAGGCAGTATCTCTGCGGAAGCAGATTGCCCAATCTTCCTTCTGAGGAGTGGCTGTGGGTTCGAACTGCCAGCCTACTGGTTAGCAGTCAAATGCCTTAGGCATTACACTACCAGAGTTCCTAACACAGAGAATGTTGTTGTTGTTATGTGCTGTCGAGTCAGCCCCGACTCATAGCGACCCCTCCTTGGGTTTCCAAGGCAGTATCACTACGGAAGTAGATTGCCCCACCTTCCTTCCGTGGAGTGGCTGGTGGGTTTGAACCTCCAGCCTTCTGGTTAGCAGTCAAATGCCTTAGGCACTATGCCACCAGAGCTTCTAACACAGAGAAAGGAAGGGAGAAATTCCCCAGCCTCTCTCCTTGCCCCACCTCCAGTTTCTCACCAGAGCCTCCCATTGGTCAACCCAACCCTTCCCGCCATACCACAGCCCAATGGGAGAAGGGCAGGCAGGAGTCAGATTGGAAAATAAATGGACTCGTGACCAGCTCACTCCCCAACCTCACTCCACCCGGCCCTAGGTTTGCTTTCGGCTTCACCTTCTATGGCCTGGCCCTGAACCTGCAAGCCCTAGGCAGCAATATCTTTCTGCTGCAGTTCCTCATTGGGGTGGTGGACATCCCAGCCAAGATAGGCACCCTGATGGCTCTGAGATATCTGGGCCGACGCCCTACGCTGGCTGGGTCTCTGCTGCTGGCCGGGCTCTGCATCCTGGCCAACATGCTGGTGCCCCATGGTGAGTGCGCAGGTGGGCAGGGCCAGGGCACCACAGGTGAGGCCTCCCTTCCTGGGGGCCTGAGCCAGGAACAGAGGCCCTGGGCACTCCCCTCTTCAGACCAGAGGTGGGGTGGGGGAGGGGCAGTTCGGAAGGAGCTTTCTGCAGCATCTACATGTCTGTGGATCCATAGGGAGACTGCGGTGGGCTGTGCTCGGGCAGGGGGAGGCCAGGCTGCGGGAAGGACAGCACTGTGAAAAATCATGAGAATAATTTAGGGTTCGGTTGGGGAGGCAGAAGGTGAAAGAGAGGGGGAGGGGTCAAGCCTCTGGGTGAGTGGGTGGGGAGCAGACCAAAGAGTGGAAATGTGCTTATGAGGTCATTTAGGACACCGGGAGTATGTGGGGCCTGGGGCACAGTGGTTAAGCAACCGGTTGCTGAGCGCAAGGTTGGCAGTTCGAACCTAATAGTCACTCCACCAGAAAAAAAGACCTGGTAACCTGCTCTGATAAAAATTAGCCAAAAACCAAACCTGTTGCCAATGAGTTGATTCCTACTCTTGTTGTTGTTGTTGTTATGTGCCGTCGAGTCGGCACTGACTCATAGCGACCCCTCGTTGGGTTTCCGAGAAGGTATCACTACGGAAGTAGGATTGCCCAACCTTCCTTCCGAGGAGTGGCTGGTGGGTTTGAACCGCCAGCCTTCTGGTTAGCAGTCAAGTGCTTTAGCCACTGTGTTACTCTTAGTGACCCTGTAAGACAGAGTTGAACTGCCTATGGCCTTTCCAAGGCTGTCAATCATTATGGAAGCAAAACCAAACCCACTGCCATAGTTGTTGTTGTTGTTGTTATGTGCCATCGAGTCAGACCTGACTCATAGCAACCCCTCCTTGGGTTTCCCAGGTGGTATCACTATGGAAGTAGATTGCCCCACCTTCCTTCTGAGGAGTGGCTGGTGGGTTTGGACCACCAGCCTTCTGGTTAGCAGTCAAATGCCTTAGGCACTATGCTAGCAGAGCTCCCCCACTGCCATGGAGTCGATTCCAACTCACAGCGCCCCTAGAGGTCAGAGTAGAATTGTCCCATGGGGTTTCGAAGGCCTAATCTTTACGGAAGCAGACTGCCTCATCTTTCTTTTGTGGAGCGGCTGGTGAATTCAATCCGCCAATCTTTCAGTTAGCAGGTGAGCACCTAACCACTGCGCCACCAGGGCTCCTTCCATAAACAGGACACCCTAAGAAACTCTATGGGGCAGTTCTACTCTGTCCTATAGGGTCACTATGAGTCAACAGGGACACCCAGGTGGAGAATTCCAGAGGCACTTGGAAAGGTAGGGCCTACCCATTACTCTCTCCACAGAGATGGAGGCCCTGCGCTCGACCTTGGCCGTGCTGGGCCTCGGCGGGGTGGGGGCTGCCTTCACCTGCAAAAACACCTACAGTGGTGAGCTCTTCCCCACGGTGCTCAGGTGAGGGGGGCCGGGGCCCACGAGGGGCATGGTGTGCTGGGTGTGGTGGCCTCCCTGTCCAGATGGGGGGGTGGCTTTCCCTCGGGCCCAATGTCCGGGTTTGAGTCTCCCTTCCACGTGGTCTGGGGTCTCCCAGTTGTCTCTCCGAGCTGGCAGGGCAAGGCCAAGGCGGGCAGCGCGGCTGCTCACGCCTGTCTGTGCCGGCAGGATGACTGCAGTGGGCCTGGGCCAGATGATGGCCCGTGCGGGCGCCATCCTGGGGCCCCTGGTGCGGCTGTTGGGGGTGCACAGATCCTGGCTGCCCCTGCTGGTTTACGGCATGGTCCCGGTGCTGGCCGGCCTGGCTGCTCTACTGCTACCTGAGACGCAGAACCTGCCCCTGCCCGACACTCTCCAGGACGTGCAGAGACAGTGAGTGGACCCACCTGGGATCCCACCCTCCTCCCAGAGAGCCACAGGGCAAGCCCGGCCCAGCTGCCCTCCCATCTCTGGACAGAGAAGGAGCCAGAGGCCCAGAGAGGGCAAGGGTGGGCCTGACGTCACACAGCACACCTTTGGGAGGGTAGAGACTAAGGCTGGGCTGCCCCACTCTTCCTTCCTCTCAGACACCACAAAGGGCCAAGGGGAGGGGAATGAGTTGCCTCCCGCCCCCGTGATACAGGGCACAGGGCTACAGTGGCCATTGTTAGAAGCTCGCACAGGCCACAGGCTCTACCAGGAATGCCCCCAGGTGGTTGACAGGGTCTTGGTCACTGGCCCCCATCATGAGCTCTGGGACCTTCTGCCCTGGGTTCCCGAGAACTTGGTGGCTGTACCCCTTGAGTCCTCAGGACAAACACAGGTCACAGGTCAGGGGTCATTGTGCACCCTGACACAGCCCCTCCATGTCTTCCCCGAACAGGGCAGTGAAGAGAGCAGCCCACGGTACACAGAGTCACTCTGTCCTGAAGTCCACACAGTTTTAGGTCCTGTGATGGGGCCGTGGAGGAAGTGCAGAAGGCCGGAGAGCAGACGCCTTGGTTTCCAGGGGTTTACCTGGGGTCCCTGCTCCCCTCCCAGGCTGCCCCCTCGCTGTCCAAGGAGCTGCCTTCCCCACAGAAGGGACAGCGGGTCGCACGTGTGCCACCCGGGGATGGATACCAGTTTCAGGGGGTGGGGGGGCTGTGCTCACCTCGCTGCCCTCACCGTCCACCTGTCACCAAGCTCAGAGCCACAAGGGACAGAGTCTCTGCTCCTCAGCTTCCTCGGAAAAGCACTGGGCCCTGCCTGCTCAGGCCCCTTCCCCGTTCCACAGCCCAGGCACACGGCAGGCCCCTGGCACACCTTCCCCCGGAACCCCCTCCACATCTTCTCTGCCCGACCAGCTCCTCCTCAGCCTCCCAGACCCAGGCCAGTGGCCCTCACTCCTGGGCCAGGCACCTGCACCCCACTACCCCCAGCCCATGAGTTCTCAAAGGGCTAGGAGGACCTAAATTCCCCCTGTCCGGGCTCCCGGCACAGACCCGGCCTGGAGGGGCCATGGGTGGCAGGGAAAGAAGGAGTGAATAGAAGAGCCAGTGAACGAACAGTGGCCTCACCGAGTCTGGATGAGCTTCCTGGGTGGGCCGGGTGGGGAGGAAGGGCAGGGAAGGTCTTTTCCAGCCGCTGTGAAGGGCTGGGCGCCGGCTTCCCAAACACAGGCCAGAGGCCCTGCCAAGTGTCAGGCAGAGTGGCCCCCATTTCCCACACCTGGTGTGGGCACCACACAGCATCACCCCATCCTGTCTCCTCAACCCTGCCACCTGGACGGTGTCCCCATTTCACAGATGGGGAAAGTGAGGCCCAGAAAAATTGAATGTATACGACACACAGCTGGAAGAGGGTGGGATCGGGATGGCCCGGGCTGTCTCCAGCCCCCAGCCGGCCCTCAGACCTCACAATCGACATTCAGTGACACTTCTCCAGTGCTGTGCAGGGCCAGGGTCTCTTCTTCCGACTCAGAACCAGCTGGGACTGTGGGGTCCAGTGGCAGGGCTCATGGGGAAGCACAGGGTAGGGGCCCAGGGGGATGGGGCGACCCCAAACTCCCCCAGCCCGGCTGACGAAGACTTGGTCCAGGCAGAAGCCATTCAGTGTCCAGCCGGGGCCCCCACCAGCAGCCTGACCTGAGCTGTGCTCAAGGGTCTCTGTGCCCACTTGTGGCTGCTTCCAGACATCTGCAACAGAGGGCTATGTACCCCACACACATAGCAGTGATGTGTCCACACACGTGCACATGCACACATGAACATATGCACACACATGGGTGTGGGCACATACAGGTGCATACACATGGGCACACGTGCACACATGCACATGGGCACACATTCATACATGGGCATGTGTATGCATGCACACAGACACTTATGGGTGCACACACAGGCACTTGTGCACACACACACATTGTTCAAAGTGCCCAGCTCTAGGGGCTGGGTGAAAGCCTGGCCCACTGGAGCTAGAGGCGTTTCTTCACTCAGACAGCTGCTGGCTGCTGAGGCTGAGAAGCCCCAAGCTTGACAAGTAAAAAGGCACAGTCCCGATGTTACCCAACCACACGGCAGGCCATTAACTTAAGTCCATTTAAGTCCCAAGGTTGGCAGAGCATAGCAGGCTGCTGAGCAACGACACGGCTACATGCAGGGTCCAAGCGCGCCACAGGGTAGACCATTCCCAAGGCTTCTCTTAAATACAGGAAGCAGACTGCATCCCAAAGGCAGCTACTCAGCTGCTTGTGGTAGATCCCACCATAGAGTTGATTGCCAGTCTCCTCATGGGGAATAACTACCACCAGCTGCCCAGCCACTCAACCAGGCCCAGACAAGTTGACACAAAACATAACCACCACACACATGCACACGTGTGCACACTCCCACAGACGTTCAGCCAGAAACTCCAGGGACACAGACTGCAGCTCCTTGCCCCCAGGAGGCCCAGACCACTCCCTGACGTGGTCTTGTCGGCCGCAGCCCTTCCCTTCCTTTTTCATCTCCAGAAGGCCCTCTGAGAGCCATGTCCCCAAGCCTTGTGCCTATGGCCACCCCCAGTGAAGGCCCAGGACAAAGGGAGATGAGGTGGGGATCATGTTGATAAAGACGCCCAAAGGTGAGGCTGTCCCAGACTTCCCTGGACTGTCCATCTGTCTGCCTGTCTGTTGCCCAGCTGAGCTCTAGTTGCCTCTCTCATCCTTGCTCAGCGTTCTAGGGCCCAGGGTGTCCAGACCACCACTCGTCTGTCAGTCTGTCATACTGTGGAGGCTTGTGTGTTGCTGTGAGGCCGGAGGCTATGCCCACCAGTGTTTCACACACCAGCAGGGGCACCCGTGGTGGACGGGCTTCAGTGGAGCTTCCGGGCTAAGACAGACTGGGAAGAAGGAAGGGGCCGTCCACTTCTGAAAACCTTAAGAGTGAAGCACTGCCTGATGTTCCCTGCAGCAGGACATCATGGCTGCTAAAGTAGAGGGTTAGGGAGAAAGGGGCAAACCCTCAGCGAGATGGACTAACACGCGGCTCCGACGATGGGCTCAAGCATCGTGAGAGCTGGGAAGCTGCTGGGGGCCCGGGCGTGTTTCGTTCTGTTGTACACGGGCCTCCGTGAGTCAGAGCTGAATCCACGCCACCTGCCAACAGCAGGGTGTCCAGAAGCCTCCAGAGCAGGGCCCAGGCCTGATGGGGTGGGCTCCTCCTCCTCCCTGGGATGTCCCTCCAGCTCCACAAGCGGTCACTTCAGAGCGAACTCACTCCACCAGCCTCACCTCCCAGCTGGTCACAACCTTCCGGGACCCGGGGTCCGTCTGCTTCCACAGCTGGCATCCCCTCCAATAACTGAACGGGCCTGGAAGCTGGCAGGGCCCAGGGCCTGGCCTCTGGGGTTGCTGCGCTTGCCTCCCCGTGACCCTGGGGAGTGAGCGGCATCGCGGTGGCTGAGTGGACCCTGAGAGGGACAAGAAGACCCTCAGCAGTAGCCAGAGGCCTGTATCTGGGCTGGGGGCTGCTCACCCAAGGGGTCAGCTTCCACGTGGGACACACTCTTTTGTTTTCCCCAGATTATGCCATTTGAGTGTATTCTGAATTCAGTAACCCTTCTCCTAACTCTTTACAAAATTCAAAGGTGTCAAACAGTCCTTTAGACATGAGCTGCCTGTCTTATTGCCCAAATACTTACTTCTGTTACCACGTATAGGTACTTTTTTTTTTTTCAAGAAAGCCCTAAGCTAGAATGAGCAGGGAAAGTATTTCTGTATCAATAAAGTAACTGAAAGTTTTCACGGTGGTATTTTCCAACTTATCTTCCTTTTTTTTTTAATTGTAATTTGGGTGAAAGTTTACAGAGCAAATTCACTTTCCATACAGCCGTTCACACACACGTTGTCTCATGACATTGACCACAATTTACCCCAATGCAACAGCTCCTCTCCCACTTCCTCTGGATAGTCACCTCTTCCCTGTGTCCATCCCTCCATGAACCCCTTCCCCCTGAGGTGTCTCCCTGTGCATACACAGCCCTTCTTTCTCTCATGATTGGTCTCTCCAAGGAGTGTATCTAGCTAATGTAAATGTTCAGCTCATATGCCTGTCTTTTGCTTGGCTGGAAGCCACAGATGTGGGTTTAATTCCAGACCTGAAGGGCAGCTAGGGCCCATAGTCTCAGTGGTTCCACCAGGCTCTATCAGACCAGCAAACCTGGTCTTTTTTTTTTTTTTCCCCAAATGCTTTTGAGTTTTGTTCCAAATGGTTCTCCCTCTCTATCCAGGATCTCCTACATAGATCCCCTCAGAGTGGTTGATAGTGGTAGCCGGGCACCATCTAGTTCTTCTGGTCTCATAGTCGTACAGGCTGAGGGTCCCATGGTGTACCAGTCGCTAGGACTAATTGTTTCCATGAATTTTGGTTTTCTTCATTCTTCTTTGCTCTGGACTAGGAGAGACCCATCATTGCATCCGGATGGCTGCTTACAAGCTGTTAAGATCCCAGTCGCTACTCGCCAAAGTAGGAGGTGGAACGATGTTTTGTGTAGTATGTTATGTCCATTGAGCTTGAGGGACACACCCTTTCTTGATGCACACTGTGGGGAGCACCTACCAGTGAGGGGCCAAAGGCTTTGGGTGGGAAAGAAGTGCCCATTGACACCCCCTACACTCTCATCCCAGGGGTGACAGACGCCTGGGACAGCAGGGACTCAGGAAGGGGGCCAGGACCCACTCTGTCCTTCTCCTGCTCCAGCAGGCCTGGGGCTCACCCAGTAGGATGTGGGTGGAGGGCAGTGCCAGCCCATGGGCTGCATATCCACCTCTAGGTAGGGACCTCCTCCAGAAGTGCCCACGAAGCCGGTTGGGCAGGGTTCCCTCCCCTGGGGCCATGGCCAGAGCAGGTCTTCCGGGTCTTCCCTGCGAATCTCTCTCTCCAACCACCTGTTCCCACGGAATGGAGTCTCCTGAGACATCCCTGTGAGTATGCATAGTCAGGGAGTCCAGGTATCTGGAGCACAGCCACCCCACACGCTGTTTGGGATTCTCAGGGGGTCACCGCCAAGCCAGCCCGACTCCAATGAGCCCAGCTCAGGCCAGGTTCTGAGCTCAGCATCAGACGCACAGGACAGAGCTGAGCCCCCAGGGGCAGCGTCTGGGGGTCTTTCCTCTCACAGCACACTCTCGGGTGACAGGAGCCCTCAGTCTCCCGTACAGACTGGCAAACACCAACTCCCAGCGTCATACAACAGCCATATGGCAGCTGGGGCCATCCCTCCAAGCCCTGGCCTGTGCTCCTTTCTGTCCCTTCCCTGAAGGGTCAGGGTCATTCTAAAAAGTCCTGGAGGACATCCCTTCTCTTCTTGGCACCCAGGAGTCCCTGCCTGTGCTTGCTTTCTTTGGCTAGTGGTAAAAAGGGGAGAGAAGACCCCATATAGGTCTATGTCCCTAGGACAACAGAGGACCCCAGGACCAGGCCAAGGA